TGATGGCCGTGTTTTTGTGTTTCTGAGTGTAGCACGTCTTTAAGCATCTTTTGCAGGGCCAGACGAGTGGCGGCAAACTCTTTCAATTTCTGTTTGTTATGAAATGTCTTTATTTCACCTTTATTCACAAATGAGAGCTTTGCAGGATATAATATTCTGGGCTGGCAGTTTTTGTGTCAGTACCTGGGCTATATCTCGACATTCCCTCTTAGCCTGTAAGGTTTCTAATGAGAAGTCAGCTGTGAGTCTAATTGGAGATCCTCTGAGAGTAATCTGACGCTTCTCTCTTGCACATTTTAGGATCTTTTCTTTATGTTTCACTGTGGTGAGTTTGATTACAACGTGTCGTGGTGAGGATCTCTTTTGGTCATGTTTATTATGGGTTCTATGAGCTTCCTGTACTAGGATGTCTCTGTCCTTCTCCAAACCCAGGAAATTTTCTGCTAGTATCTCACTAAAAAGGCCTTCTAATCCTTTCTCCCTCTCCATGCCTTCAGCAACTCCTAGAACCCGAATGTTGGGTTTTTTAATAATATCCTGTAGATTCCCGACAATATGTTTTAGATTTCTAATTTCTCTTCTTTTCTTTGGTTTGACTGTATACTTTCCTGTTCTCCATCTTCTGAGTCCAATATTCTCTCTTCTGCTTCACCCATTCTGCTTTTAAGGCTCTCTAATGTGTTTGTCATTTGATCTATTGAATTCTTCATTTCATTATGATTTCTCTTCACTATCACAGTTTCATGTTCTACTAGTTGCTTCATTTAATTTTGATTCCTCCTTAACATTTCATTTTCACAAGAGAGATTTTCTATCCTGTCCAGTAAGGATTTCTGTAGTTCAAGAATTTATTTTTGAGAACTTCTTAATATTCTTATCAATTTTTTGAGATCCATTTCTTGCATTTCTTCTATCTCATCATCTTCATAATCTTGAATTGGGGTGTCTATTTCATTTGGGGGTGTCCTAGTGTCTTCCTTGTTCTTCTTTCCTTGGTTTCTGTGTTTGTTGCTTGGCATTGTGGCGATATTCTTTGGTTTCTTCACTGTAGTGGTTTTTCTCGTTATACTATGACTCTAGATTAAGTGGAGTGTCTCCTTTTGATGGATCCTTAGAGGCTGTGATGGGTGTTGCCAGAGAGCTCTTTTTGGTTCTCTAGGATTAAGGGTGTGCCAAAAGTGACTCCCCCAGGTTATTCTCTCTCTCTCTTGCTAGCTCTCTCTCTCTCTTTTTTTTTTGACTCAGAAGGGGAGTAATTCTGCACAGCTGAGCGGAATTGAGGGTAGTCGATGTATGAAATCTTGCCCCTGTGGTTATTCGTCTGCTCTACCCCAAGGACCACACAAAGGGTCTATGCAGCCCTCAGTGTGGTCTCAAATTTCTCTGCAATCTCCCACCAGGTTGCCAAGGTTACCAAGTTTGTGTACTCCGTGAGTTCTCTTGCCCGCCCTCAGATTTTCACAGTCTCAGTTCATTAGCTCCACACCTTCACTAGGTCCTAACCTCCTGTTATTTCTCCCCACCAGAGTCAGGTTTTTCTGCCTGGCTGATGGTGGGCGCCACTTTACGTAAGTCCAAAATGGTGCCTGCTCTTTGTCTTGCTCAGCTTTGTAAGGTGAATGGAGAGAGAGGCTCGTGTCCGTGCTGGTTCCCCTTATTTATTCATTTTTTTGCTCTCCTCTAGTCAGCCTGGTGAACTTTCCCCAGCAGAGCTTCAGGCCTCGTTCCCTCTAGGCTCTTTCTGCCGTTTCCCTGCCATTGTCTCGGGCTACCGAGGTTTTTGTCTCACCTCCCCTTCCAGCACTGGTGTGCAGACTCTGTCTGGGCTTCCGAACCGTGGATGTCCTTGCTCTCCCCATAGGTCCTCCGTGTCACATCCACTAGATCCAGAAGAGTTTCCTCTGCAATTTTTTTCCCAAGCCTTTCCCTGAGACTACAGTAACTCCACTTTTATTAAACTATCTTTTCCCGGACTATCAGTGTGTGACCTCACTATTCCGCCATCTTGGATATTGAAAGAGAGAGTTGAGGGGGACATCCTTGCCTTGTTAACAATCGTACTTTTAGATTCTTGCCATTAAGTATGATTGTAGCTGTAATTTTTCTATAGATGTACTTTTTCAAGTTGAAGAGATTTTCTTTATCCCTAGTTTGCTAAGAGGCTTCATCACAAATTGGTGTTGGATTTTGTCAAATGTTTTTTCTACATCTACTGATATGATTTTGTGGTTTTTATTCCTTTGTTCATTGATCTGATGGGCTATATTTAATAATTAATTTTAAATGAATAATTAATTTTCAAATGTTGAAATCACCTTGCATATCCAGTAAAAATCCCACTTGGTCATTATATACTCTTTTAATACATTTTTTAGATTTGATTTGTTAATAGTTTAATAATTTTTGCATCTATGTTCATTAGTGATATTGCTCTGTAATTTACTTTTCTTGTAATGCCACTGTCTGGTTGTGGTATTTTTGTAAGGCTGTCCTTATAAAAACAAGTTTAGAAATATTCCTTCTGCTATCTTTGAAAGAGATTGTGGATAACTGGCATAACATATTTTCTTAAATGTTTGATAGAATTCATCAGCTGCCACCTCTGGACCTGATGCTTTCTGTTTTTAGAATGTTATTGATCATTGATTCAATATAAGTATAGGCTTATTTAGATTGTCTATTTTTTCTTCTGTGAGTCATGATTGATTGTGTCTTTCAAGCAATTCATTCCTTTCAGTCAGTTATAAAATTTATGGACACAGAGACAAGAACTGTGATGAAGCAGGTTAAGCAACTGCCTGCTTTGCTGGCATCTTAGATGGCCGCCAGTTCATGATCTGGCTGTTCCACTTGTGATTCAACTTTCTGCTAATGTGCCTGGGAAAGCAGAGGAAGATGGCCTAAGTGCTTGGGATCTTGCACCATGTGGGAGACCTTGATGGAGTTTCAGGCTCCTGGCTTTGGCCTGGCCCAGCCCCAGCCATTGTGGCCATTCAATGGTGAACTAGTGGTTGGAAGATCTCTCTCTCTTTCTGTCTCCCTTTCTCTCTTTCTCTCTCTCTCTCTGTAACTCTGCCTTTCAAATATATAAATCAATCTTAAAAAAAATTTGGAGGTAGAATCACTTATAACATTCCTTTATTATCCTTTTAATGACCATTGGTTCTATAACGATATCCTCTTTCTTCTTTCTGATATTAGTAATTTGTGTCTTTTCTTTTTCTCTTAGTTACCTTGACTAGCGAATCATATATTTTATCAACCTTTTCAAAGAGACAGCTTTTAGTTTCATTGAATTCCTCTACTAATTCTCGCTTTTAAATTTTATTGATTTTTGTTCTAATCTTTATTATCATTTTATTCTGCTAACTTTAAATTTAATTTGATTTTTTTCTGCTTTCCTAAGGCATACACATACATTATTGAATTTGGACTTTTCATTTTTTCTTATATTTGCATCAAATGTTATAAAGTTTCCTATAAGCACTCTTTTCATCCTGCCCCAAGTATTTGGAGTTATATCTTCATATTCATTTAGTTTAAAATATTTTTAAATTTCTTTTGCGATTTTTTTCTTTGACTAGTATATTATTTAGAAGTGTGTTGTTTACCCTCAAATATCCAGGGATTTTTAGCTATCTTTATATTATTAATTTTTAGTTTAATTAAATTTTGGTCCAAAAGCAGACAATATATGGTTTCTATTATTTTACATTAGTTGATAGGTATTTTACAGGCCAGAACATGATCTGTCTTGGTACATACTTCAAGTGAGTTTCAGAAGAATGTGTATTTTGCTGTTGTTTCATGAACTATTCAATGGATGTTCATTAAATCCAGTTCACTGATGGTGCTATTGAGTTTAACTATGTTATTACTGGTTTTCTCCTTACTGAATCTGCTCATTATGACAGAGGAACATTGAAATCTCCAACCATAATATTGAATTCATGTCTTTGGAAGTTTTATCAGTTTTTATCTCATGTATTTTGATGTTATATATTAAAGATATCCTTCCCTTTTTGAGAATTAACTTCTTTATCATTATGTAATGTCTACCCTTTGTCTTTGATAAACTGTCTTGTTCTACCTTGTCTAAAATAAATATGATACATCTAGTTTCTTTAAATTAATGTTAAATTTATGTTCATCATTCTTTTGCTTTTAATTTAAAATCAGGGTTTTTAAGACAACATATTATTAGGACTTATTTCTGCTCCACTCTGACAATCTTCTTTTAATTTAATGTGTTATCATTGACAGTAAAAGTCAATAATATAGTTGGATTAATATTTAAAGTAATTTTTATATTTCTGTGTGTTATCCTTGTTCTGTGTTCCTATTTTCATTTTCAATTCTTTTCCTGACTTTTGTGGTTTTAATGAGCATTTTATGATTCTGTTTTCTTTCCTTCCTCAGTGCATCAATTATGCTTTCTTTTTTCAACTTTTATTAGTAATCACACCACAGTTTATAAACTAATTTACAATTACTTCAATCTACTTTAAAATAACACTATACCGGAGAAATGGGAAGCAAGATGGTGGCTGAGTTAGGCGCTCTGGCAGTCACCTCCCTAGCGAGACACTAATTTGAACCAAGTTACCCTTCATAAGAGCTATAGAAGCCAGGTGGGGATTTCAGTGCATCTTTTTGGTATGATAATAAGAAAAGTCACTCTGCAGAAAGCAAGAAGAAATGATTTGCCTGCATCACCCCATCCCTACGTCCAACGAGCACAAGCAGGAGAGAAACACTTGCCACTTGGGAGGGGAAAGGAAACAAGTCTAGGGACAGGCCCATTGTGGAAAATTTCGGTTACATTGAGCCCTCTGGCTCCTGCAGCCAGGCCTATATCTGTAGACCTAGTAGTTAGAGCTCCCACAGTCAGGTAGCTTCCACCAATTGACAGAAAGAAAAACTCCAGCCAATCAGAGAAGCCAGGAGAGGATTCTGAGGATAATGCCTTGGAACTCAGAACCCAGGCTACTGCACTCAGATCCAGTATCTGAAAAGCACAAGAGCATCTACTGCCAGGATGGTGTTCACAGACTGAGCCTCTAGAATTTCCCAGCATCAGGCAGCTGCTTGCACTCCAGTGAGTCAGACTCATTTTAGTGTGTCACTGCTGGTCTCAAGGATGGGCTGGTAAAGCCCAATACTGGGAAGATCTCAACGGTTTCTATCCCTAGGCCAGTGCCTGTGGACAGAGTATCTGGACTTGCTCTGATATCGGGGGAGAAACTGCACCTGGTGAAGTGAACTTTTTTGGTGTGTAACACCTCCAGCTTCATGCAGACCAGGTATGCAACCCCAAAGATAACACAGGACATGGGGACTGTAACAGCCAGCTGTGACTCAGTGCCTCCCCGTGTAGCTGGAAGGGCTGACTCTATCACCCCTCCTGAAACCTTGGGCATACAGGGAATAATTGCACAGCTGATTTGAGACTCAGGGCTATTCTGGTAAAACTCAGCATTGAGCAGATCTATATTTTCCATGTCCCCAGGCCTGTATCTACACACAGAGCCTCTGGACCTGGTTCTGGGCCAACTAAAATTCTGTGGTCTCAGTTGAGCAGCCTTCTATCTCAGTCAGTGTCATTCATGGCTTGTAGTTACACCATGGGCAGTGAGCTCACATGAGCATCAGACAGACCATAGCAGAGTGGGCTTTAGTCCTACTGTTCTTGGTGGGCTGTACACTCCAGGTCTGATCTATCATTATGACATTGGTGGACACAGGCCAGGGAACCTGAACCTACACGCACCCAGAAAGGTGCTTGTAGGGGCAGACTACCCTTTTTTAGACATTTCCCCATTTGCTTCTGGACAATATACCAACTGTGGATTTGGTGCAAATTTGAGTTTAGGAGTAGTGTTGGACTGAATTGGTAAAAATGTATCAACAGTGGACCAGGGCAAACTTCAACTTAGGGTGCTATCTAGTGCTGAAATAGCAAAGTATATATAGACTCAGAGAAAGTAGACAGATTAGAATTTCTAAGATGATAGCCACAAAGCCAGAAAACTATAAGTAATCCTTCAATGTGCAGATGATATCATATAACAAGAAGCCTCAAGAATTTCCAGGGAACTCTGAACTCACCAAAAGATCAAAAATGAGATTCCAGAAGTCAATCATCTACGAATTGAAATTTCCAAATGCTTGGATGAAGATTTCACAATAACTATTTTAAGGAAACACAATGAAATTCAAGAGAACATAGAAACATGATTTAATATTCTAACAGAGGTATTTGATAGATATGAAAGTAATGAAACAAAGTCAAGCAGAAATATTTCAACTGAAGAGTAACATAAGTATAATTAAAAATGTGATAGATGACATCAATAGCAGAATACATCAAACAGAAGAAAGAATCAATTAGCTTGAAGACAAACTATTTGAAAATACACAGTTGAAGGAGAAAAAAGTAAGTAAAAAATCTTTGTATGAACATTAGGACAACAATAAAAGAGTAAATATCCAAGTTAGCAAGGTTCCAGAGCAACTCCAGAATGCTAAAGGAGTAGAAAGTATATTCAGAGAGATAATAACAGAAAATTTCTTGAACCTAGAAAGAGATATAACTATCTAGCTGTAAGAAGTTCAAAGGTTATCAGCCATATTCAAGCTACCCCAAAACATACTTTATAGTCAAGCTCTCTAAGGTGGAAGAGGATCTCAAAGCTGCAGGAGCAAAGAAGCAAATGACAATAAATATGCCTTAATTTGCCTGACTGTGGATTTCTCTGCAGAAACCTTACAGGCCAAGAGGGAGTGGGATGAGATTTTTATAGTGCTGAAAGAAAAAAAAAATTGCCAGCCACAAATACTGTATCCAGCAAAGCTATCATTATGATATGACAGAGAGGGGTAGGTGTTTTGGTGCAGTGGGTTGAGCAGTTGCATGTGAAGCTGGCATCTTGTGTGCTCCACTCTTGATCCAGCTCTCTGGTGATGGACTTGGAAAAGAGGTGGAAGATGGCTCAAGTGCTTGGGCCTCCGCCATTCAGGAGAGAGAGAAGTGGAAGAAGCTCCTGGCTCCTGGCTTCAGCCTGGCCCACCCTTGGCTGTTGCAGCTGTTTGGGGAGTGAGCCAGTGGAGGGAAGATCGTCCCTCTCTCTTTAACTCTTCTCATCAAATAAATAAGTCTTAAAAAGATATGAGGGAGAGATAAAGACATTCCTGGACAAAGAAAAGCTAAAAGAATTTATCAGTACTAGACCTGACATCCAAGAAATGCTAAAGGGAGTTCTTGAAGTTGAAAGAGATGCTAACAAGTATGAAGAAAATATCAGAAACTTATTGGTAACAGTAACTAGACCAACAAATCCAGAATACTTCAATTTTGTAAGCATGACACATAAACTATTTATCACTAGTAGGAAGAACAAAACAATTATAATAACTACATTGAAATGTTTAGAGACAGGCAATATAAAAGCAGGTAAAATGTAACACCAAAAATTCAAGCTGTGGGGAGGAATGGAGCATGAATATAGACTTCCTTCCTTCCTTCCTTCCTTCCTTCCTTCCTTCCTTCCTTCCTTCCTTCCTCCCTCCCTCCCTCCCTCTCTCTCTCTTCTTTCTTTCTTTCTTTCTTTCTTTCTTTCTTTCTTTCTTTCTTTCTTTCTTTCTTTCTTTCCTTCCTTCCTTCCTTCCTTCCTTCCTCCCTCCCTCCCTCCCTCCCTCCCTCCTTTCTTCCTTCCTTCCTTCCTTCCTTCCTTCCTTCCTTCCTTCCTTCCTTCCTCTTTGCTTTTATAATAACTATTAAGTTGTTATTGTTTCAAGATAGATTGTTATAGCCAAAAAATCTTTCTGTTACTCTCATGGTAACTAAAATAGATTACCAAAGGTAATAAATGAGGATTAAAATCACTTAGCCACAAATGAAGATTGTAAGAGAAGGAGAAATTAAGAAAGGAACTATAATAAAAGCACAAGTATCAAAATGACAATAATAGGACCTTACCAATAATTACCTTAAATGACCACGAACTATGTGCCAAAACCAAACAAGGAGACACCGAAAAAGAAACTCATAGTCCAGTATCCTCAATGAACATAGATGAGAAATCCTCAACAAAATACTAACATATCAAATCCAGCAACACATTAAAACAAAGTGATCAAATCAAATTTTTTTCCAGGGAAGCAAGGATGGCTTAACATGTACAGATCAATAAATGTGATATACCACAATCAACAAAATGAAGGGTGCAACTCATATGAACATCTCAATAGATACAGAAATGACATTTGATAAAATTAAACATGATTAAAAACTCTGAACAAATTAGGTATAGAAGGAATATACCTCAGCAGAATAAAGGTCATACATAACACAAAAACAACTAATATCATACTAAATGGGGGAAAGCTGAAGGCTTTCTCTCTAAGATTTGGAACAAGACAAGGATGGCTACTTTCACCCCTTTAACCAACAGAGTACTGGAAATCCCAGTCAGAGCAATTAGGCCAGAGAAAGAGTGAGTGAGAAAAAGAAAGAAAGAGAGAAAGAGAGAGGGAGAGAGGGAGAGAGAGAGGGAGAGGGAGAGAGAGAAAGCAAGGAAATAAAGAAAGCAAGAAAGAAAGAAAAAAAGAAAAGGAAGAAGGAAAGAAGGAAGGAAGACCAAATTGGAAAGCAGAAATTCAATTTTTCACAGTTTTCAGATGACATGATTTAATATATAGAAATCCACCAAAACTCCATGGACAAGCTGTTAGACATAATAAACAAATTCAGCAAAGTTGTAGGCCACAAAGTCAACATACAAAAATCGGTAACATTTTATTACACCAATAGAGAATCTTCTGAAAAAGAAATTTCATTTCCAAGAGCTACAAAAGGGGCCAGAACTGTGATGTAGTAGGTTAAGCCTTGGCCTGCAGTGTTGGCTTACCATATGGGCACCAGTTTGAGTCCTGGCTGCTGCACTTCAGATCCAGCTCTCTGATAATGGCCTGGAAAAGCAGTGGAAGATGGGCCAAGTAGTTGGGCCCCTGCAGCCATGTGAGAGGTCTGGAAGAAGCTCCTGGCTTCTGGCTTCGGATCTGCCTAGCTCTGGCCTGTGGTCATTTGGGGAATGAACCAGTGGATGGAAGACCTCTCTCTCTGTTTCTCCCTCTCTTTGTGTGTAACTCAGTCTCTTAAATAAATAAATAGACCTTAAAAATAGCTACAAAAATATACTTGGGAATACATTTAATAAAAAAGATGCAAAATCTCCTAACAACTGTTAGTATTGATCAAAGAAGTTGAAGAGGACTTAAAGAAATGTAAAGAAGAAATGGAATTCTTTGGTCTTCTTGGATGTATGATTTGGTATCTGACATTCATTTTGGAAAATTATGAGTCATTATTGCTCCAAATATTTCTTCAATTTCTGTCTCTCTTTCTTCTCTTTCTAATATGCCCAGTATTCATACCATACACATGTTGTACTTTTTGTAGTTATTCCACAGTTAATAGATATTCTATTCTATTGTTTTCAGTCTTTGCTTCCTCTGTGCATTTCTGTTTTGGAAGTTTCTATTAATATATCATTAAGTCAGAAATTATTTCCTAGGGACCGGCACTGTGGCGCAGCAGGTTAACACCCTGACCTGAAGCACCAGCATCCCATATGGGCACTGGTTCAAGATCTGGCTGCTCCACTTCCAATCCAGCTCTCTGCTATGGCCTGGGAAAGCATTAGAAGATGGCCCAAGTCCTTGGGTCCCTGCACCCGCATGGGAGACCTGGAAGAATCTCCTGGCTCCTGGCTTCCGATCGGCACAGCTCCGGCGGTTGCAGCCAATTGGGGAGTGAACTATTGGATGGAAGACCTCTGTCTCTCTCTCTCTGCCTCTCCTCTCTCTGTGTAACTCTGACTTTCAAATAAATAAATAAATAAACATTAAAAAATAAATTATTTCCTCAGCCATGTTTCATTTACTAATGAGCCAATCAAAGGCATTTTCATTCCTGATATCATGTTTTTAATCTCTGACATTTCTTCTTGATTCTTTCTTAATATTCTGTTTTTCTCCTTACACTGTCTACTTCTTCTTGCATGTTTACTTTATCCATTACAGTCTTTAGCATATCAGTCATCATTGTTTTATGTTTCTGGCATGAGCATTCCAATACCACTGTTTGATCTGTCTCTTCAGATTGTGGTTTTTGTCTTTTGTAGCCTTTTGTTTCTGATAGCTGGACATGATGTATAAGATAAAAGAAGTTATAAATAGCCTGTTAGTAATCTGAGGGTAAGGTCCGGGGAGAGGGAAAGTATACTATGGTCCCATAATTAGGTCTCAGTCTTTTAGTGAGACTGTGCCTCTGAACTGTGAAATCCTCAGGTCCTTTCTAGTCTCCTCCTTAGGTAGAACATATTGAAGAGAGTGGATTGGAGTTAAGTATTTCCTTCCCTCAGGTCATTTATGCTCTGATAAAATCCCAATAGTGTAGTCTTTGATAAAACGCTTTCACTTAATGATAGGCCTTATTAAGAATACATTTTACTAGTGTATTTCTAAACTGTTTCATTCTGCCTTCCTTCTGCCAGAAATATGGGGTAAATGGGTAAATTTTCCCTTATATTCACTCTAAGAACCTGATCGAAGTCCTGGAGAAAAAACTCAGTAAAGTGTCAGGGGTTTCACTGTGTCTGCGTCCCATTGGAGTTTTTGTATAGGAGACTTATCTACACCGAACCATTGGTAATTCATTAATTACAGTTTGATTTTCCCATCTTGGTACTGGTTCCCATGAACATTTGGGTTTTCTGTTCTGATATATCGTGATTCTCTATATTTGCCTTTTGATTTTACCCATTTCGGGAGCAGTAGTTTGCTTTGTGACCTCACTTTTCTGAAGATCGGAAAAGATTGTTGAGTTTTTCAATTTTTTTTCTTTGACAGGCAGAGTGGACAGTGAGAGAGAGAGACAGAGAGAAAGGTCTTCCTTTTCTGTTGGTTCACCCCCCACAATGGCCGCTGTGGCCGGCGCGCTGCGGCCAGTGTAATGAACTGATCCGAAGCCAGGAGCCAGGTGCTTCTCCTGGTCTCCCATGCGCATGCAGGGTCCAAGGACTTGGGCCATCCTCCACTGCACTCCCGGGCCACAGCAGAGAGCTGGACTGGAAGAGGAGCAACCGGGACAGGATCCGGCTCCCTGACCGGGGCTAGAACCCGGTGTGCCAGCACTGCAGGCGGAGGATTAGCCTATTGAGCCGCGGCACAGGCTGACTTTTGAAATTTGTTCACTTTATTTTTAACCTGTTTTTGGTGTGGAATGATGACCTCCAAGCTTCTAACATGTTGAACAAAAACTAGAAGTTGCCATAAGTCATCACTTTTAAACCTCATGATGATGATATGTGTTAGTTACCAATTTTATCATCTTCATGAGGATTAGGAACTATGAAGGAGAAGTGTTACATGATTTCCCCAACGTTATACAACTACTTCTCATAGAAATCGGATTTAAAACTAAGTCTGCTTAGCTTTGATGTCTGTATCCCAAAGTCTCTCTCTTTTATTATGTTAATATCACTGGCTTGGGAATAGTGCCTCAAAATAAACTACAATTGGATGTTTATTCTGACATCCTAGCCTCCCTTCAAAGCCCCATTCAAGACTTGTCTCCTCCTAGAAGCCCCCTATAGCAGTCTCCAATATCTTAATATTTAGTTGATGTGTTAAACTCAATAATGCTCCCTCCCCAATTCGAAGCCCTGGAAACTATGAATATATTAGGTTGAATAGTCAGGTGACATTATGATTGCAATGGAATAAAGGTCATTAATCAACAGACCATAAAATAGAGAGAATAACCACGTGGTCCTAATGTAACTGCAAAGGTCCTTAAATGTAGAACAGAGGATCAAGTGGGTGGAAGAGGTGGCTGTGGAAGAAAGGCATGTGATTATCACATTTCTGACTTTAAAAGATGGAGTTAAGTGCCATGAACCAAGGATTGTGGGTGAGCTCTAGAAGCAGGAAAAAGCAAAGCAATGGATTCTCCAGACGGGGATGAATGAACTAACACCTTGACTTCAGCCTAGTGGAACTGTGTTGAAATTCCAACCTACAAAACTGTGAGAGAATAAATGGGAGTTTCTTTAAACCACTAAGTTTTTGGTAATTTGTTAGAGCAACAATAAGAATCTAATACACTTAATCCTTTCAAATTCCTGTTACGCAGCACTGATCATCTTTACTATACATTCAGCAAGTCTTTAATAGGGCAGACTTGCACTGATATCCACTTTTTAAAGTATTTTCTCCCCAAAACCAGAGGGTATATTCATAGAGATCAGGGACATATTTCAGGTTTTGATATCCACTGAATTGAGTACATTATTTTTGCACAAAAATCATTCAATACTGATGGTGGTGGCTTCTTTCAAAAGAAAAGGATGCTGTTATTTTCCTTCTAAGCAAATACTTTGCCCCTGTCAATTGCTAGACTATGTGAAAGGTCATTAAACCACAGATTCTTTTCCATGTTTTCTATATCTAGAAAAGTTAAGACTGCTTTTTCTGAGTTTATGATTTCAGATAGATGAGTAATGTTTGCACCTTCCCTTTCTCTTAGTTCTATTAGAGATCAGTTATTTTAAAAATCAACATAATATGAAAAAAGTCCACCTACTTTCCAGTTATTAAAGCAGAAGCTATGTTTTTAGATATTTTGCCAAACTTCAACTGAAAATTGGCTCACTTAAAAAATGCAATTTTTCTGGTTGCCAGGTGATTATTTTTTTAAATGTTGAATACTATCTTTGGGGGATATTTTGAATTAAGAGAGAGAGAGACTTGTTTAAATAACATAATCACTAAGCATAACCAGTAATTACTTATCAGGGTTTTATTTAAGTTTCTTTTATAATGCTGATTTCCAATGCAATTTAATCTGGAGTTGCTATGATGTTAACTATCTCATAATAACTTCAATGAAAGTCTGCAGAGACCTAGTTATGATGCTGTTATAATGAGAAATTAGAAGAGAAAATGCATAAGGACACAAATTCAAAAGGGATCCATTATGATGCCAATTTGATGTCACAGAGAATATGATGGCAGAACTGTTACAGTGCAATCTTTGCAGAACCCACATTGAGGGATGTGATTGTAAAGAGATGCCAATACATATTGTAGCACATATGTGGGAGTTATATCAAGTTCTGAAAAAAATCCAATAGCGGCTCATATATCAATACATCAGCACAAAAATACCAAGGGCAGGCTCACTCTGGTGACATTCGTAAGCATCAGTGAAGAGCGGTGTGTGAGCTCACCAACAGTGATATCAAGCTCAAATAGTCACTTGCATAGCAGCTGACAAATCTTTCATATAACATATCTGTTCAACACAGACAACATATGAAGGATTTGTGACCTTCCCCTCGAGTTTAAAAATCAAAATATCAGTTAAGCATAAACTTCATGGGTTGCTGCCTCTGTCGCATCTTGTCAATTCCTTCTACTTCCAAGGTATGGCTAATTTACAAGCTAATTTAAAAAAAAAGAAAAATGTTTTATTTCAATATTTTAAAAGTATATTGGCATGGGAGGAAGGAGGTTCATAATCACAATACACTTCTTTAAAAAGGCCCATGAACTTCCTGAAATTGTGTATAAGATTTTGTTTGAAAATAATATAGACACTTGGCAATGGTGGCGGTAAGCCTCCTGGTATCCTTTATGAGATTCTCAGTCTCTGATCCAGACAAGTTTAATGTAACAGTATGTAATATCTCATGCATATAATAACTCTTGGAGGTCTAGAGAAGTAAGTATCGTTATTTATGTGCAGATATCTAAAAGGAGAGATAATTAAAGTAACTAGAGAATGCTAAGGTAAGAGCAGACTAAAATAATAGCATTCCATGTTTTATTTATGAATGCTGTATCAGAATCTTCATAAAACTATGGAATATGAATTATCTTAAAATACCCTTTGGTTTGCTGTAGGGATTGAAGATACAAGCAAGGTCATGGATGGCCAGAGGAACCAGGGAGAATAACAGGGAAACAAGGCCAGGTAGGCAACAAAGATCAAGAATTTATAAATAGCATAGGTTGGAGTACTATACATCAATGTAAACAGTTGGTAGTTAAAATATCCATAGGAGGTGAAGTAGCAGAGTGGAATTAATGATCAAATAGTCATGCAAAAAGAAAATAAGAGGCCTCAATGAATTGAGGGGGAAAGAATATGTCAGGCCAGCACAATACTACTAGTTGCAGCACCAACCAGAAAGAATAACTACTGTTATGGAACTCTGGCTCTCTACACACATGATCTCTACTGATTCCATCCTTCCACGCAGCTTTTACATTGATTTTAGAGATAAGGAAATGGAGCTCCCAAAGCAACATTCAATAGATTAGGATATTCCATAGATTGGGTAGCTTAAACAGCAGAAATTTATTTCTCAGAATTTATTTTTTCAGAAGGCTTGGAGCACCAAGATCAAGGTGCTGGCTTGACTTGGTTCCTATGGAGGGTTCTCCTCTTGGCTTTCCAGAGTTACCTCTTCACTATGTCCTCACATGGTTGTTCCTTGTTGTGTGAACATGGAGAGCAATTTCTCTCTCTTTCTCTCTTCCTCTTAGAAGACCGCTAATCTCATCATTAGGGCCCCATCCTCATGACCTTATCTAACCCTAATTACCTCCCCAAATGCCTATCTCTTAATATCATTCTGTGAATTTGGGGAGGACACAAACATTCAGAGACCAAGTTCATGTAGCTGGTAAGGGAGTTTTCTATCCTGAGATGTCTCTCTTTCTGCTTTAGCATGTCACCCTCTATATGTTCCTTGCTTCTAATAAAAGTTTCGGTTTTTGATGTTCATTCTTATGTTGCTTGACCCTCTGCTACATTTTACATACTTAGCTTTTCTATCATTCAATTGGTATCTGCAAGCAACTAAATGTTTTTGTCCCCATCTCCCATACTCCCCTCCCCACATTCATATGTTCAAATTCTAATCCCCAAGGTGTTGGTATTATGAGATGGGGCCTTTGGAATGTAGTTAGAATGTGAGGATGGAATGCTCATAAATGAGATTAGTGTCCTTATAAGAAGAAATGTCAGAATATTTTCTCCACTTCTTTCAGCCATGTGAGGACACAATGAGAAGTTGTTAGCCTATACCCTAGAAGAGGCCTTTCTCCAGAACTTGTCCATGCTGGCACCCTGAACTTAATGCTTCTAGCATCCTGAACTGTGAGAAATAAATTTCTTTCCTTTATAAGTTATGCAATCAATGCTACTTGGTTATAGTAATCTAAACTCATTAAGACAGTATTCTTTGAACATGTGCCAAACTCTAGACTATATATTTTAGAGTTACCACAATGACTAAGACACAGTTTATAACCACAAATAGATTGTTATTTAGAAGGAGAATAGGGGAAAACTGTAAGGGAATACAAATATTACAAGAAATAGGATCCAAAGTGCAATGGGAACATTTCTTGTGATCAAGCAACTCATTTTATGCCAAATTAAATGTAGCTGTGGGTTCATGTTCATATCATTTCTGGTGTTAATTGTGTTTGCCACTATCCTACCACAGTTGAGATGGTAGAACAATGGAATGACCCTTTGCAGATTCAATTATAATACCATCTATGTAACAATACCCTGTGGAGTGAGGATGACATTATCTGTGATGTAAATTCTGCTATACATCAGTGGCCAATAGCTTGTCTTATTTCTCCCGTAGCTGAAATCTACAGGTTCAGAAAACAAATTTCCTCTAATTATTTACTAGCAGAGGTACTGCTTACTTCCCTGATAATTTTGGGCCTCCTTGGTCTAGAGGTCTTATTCCCAAGGGAGTAATGCTTCCACCCAGGGACTCAGCAATGTTTCCATTAAACTAGAAATTGAGACTGCCTTCTGTTCCTTTTGTGCTTCTTGTTTCAGTGGTTCTATAGTGAAAAAGTGATTACTGTGCTAGCCAGAGTGATAGGTCCTCATTATAAAGGAGGGGACTTTAGGTTGCTCTTTCAGAGTAGATGGCTGAGGAGGAATATGTCTGATATGCAGCATAGCCACTATTACACACTTATTTTAAATGTTAACAAAAACCTAAAAGAACTCAATGCATACTGGACTGCTAATGGCCCAGACCTTTCAAGAATAAAGATTTGGATCACACACTCCTCTAGGCAAGCACCAGTCAAGGCGCTTGTTGAAGACAAAAGGAACATGCCATGTAATGGATGTAGGAAGTTATAAATACTTCCTATGATCATACGACCAGTTGCAGAAAGGAGAGCTTTTATAATTATTAGTATTTCTAGTTTTGATACGAACATATTTGTGCATATATTCATTAATTTTTTATTATTCTCCTATTCCTATAACATCTAACTGAGTGCGTGGTAATAATTAACCTTAGATCTCAATATTTAAGTACAGGACATCAAAGTCACAGGGGGTGTTATGGGCTGAATTGGTCCACTCCACAAATTCATATGTTGAAGTGCAAATCCCCAGCAGCTCAGAACATGATTGTATTTGAAGATAGGAGCTTTAAAGAGGTTATTGAGTTAAAAGGAGGCCTTTAGAGTGGGTCTTAATCCAATCTGACTGATGTCATTATAAAAAACAGGAAATTGGGTAAAAAAAGATATCATGACTGCACATGCACACAGGAAAGGCCATATGAGGACACAGCAAGAAGGCAGATGTCTGCAAGCCAAGGAGAAAGACCTCACAAGAAACCAAATCTGCCAACACCTTGATCTTGGATTTCTAGACTTCAGAACTGAGAAAATACATCTCTGTTGTTTAAACCATGCCATCTGGTACTTTGTTATGGCAATCCTAGCAAATGAATATAAGAAATATGATTGAGTTAAAAGAGGATTGAATCGAGCATTACCCAAAATTGCATAAGTATCCTCTTTTGGTTAATGTGTTTTAGTGGTACAAAGGATAGCTGAATAATGTTGAAATTGTCTTTATATGAAAGACACATATCGTTAACAGAGTTACGTATGAGTGCCAAATTCACAAAGCCCAGACTTTGATATTTTGTACTGTACCAAGGAGGAACTCCACTTTCTAGAATTCCTTCCTCTTTTTGGTTTCAAGTTGATATTAACCTCTGTGAAAAATCTCGTGAGACACAGAAGGTGGAAATAAAGCAGCAGCCATTATGCTCTACAGGCTGATGTAGGTCTTGGTGTCCAGAAACCGCTGCAATGCATGCCTATTGCTGATGTGCTGATTGTTCACTAAGAGCAGCAGTCAGGCATGCAGCTACTGCAGCTCCTGGCAGGCCTCCTTCAGCTTCTTTGAGTCTCATGGTATGTGTGGATTCATGGTAAATGTTACCTGCTTTCTCTGTAGATCACCTGCATTGATGGAATCCAATGCAATGCTAGGCAAGCATGAGTTGGGTTTTTCTTTATGGGTTGCAGTCTTCCATGACTCTGTGTTGCTTCTGGTTACGCGTTTCTATTTAAATACTGGCCCTGCTGACTCTTAATGACTTTGCCTCCGCTACCAGGTGCAGAAGCAGCAACTTTCATTGTCTTCTCATCAGCCAGCATGACTGAATGAGAACTGAAAGCTATCATAAATTCCTTATTTCATATAACGCAGGGAAGTTCTGATTCTCTGATCAAATCCTAAATTCTGTAGTCTACTTAGTTGCTCAGCCTCTTAACAGCTCCCTGCTGTTAGGCTTTTCCATGTCCCTGTCTGTGTCTGTGTCACTTACAATCTGGTGGGTATCTCAAGGGGAGAATCTGCTTGAACTGTTAGGCTTACTTCTCTCCTCTTCCATGTTCATTGAGATTGTTTCCAGTCATCTCTTGGCTGCTTTAATAGTTGTGAACTCCTTTCTTTTCTCTCTGGATCATGCCATAATTACCTGTCCAAACACTCTGACTGTTAGCAACCACTTTTACACAACTGTTTAACTTATCACCCTCTCTGTTCACGTTCATTGGTGAGCCCTTGAGAGAAAGGCAAGGTAAAATGTTTAGCTTATATAGGTATATTAACATTTCTAGTTGTTCTCGTTCTCCTTTTCTTTCAAGATATTGCACACAGTATTTATCCTGTCAAACTTTCTTTGACAGCTGCCCTTCTCAATATCCAGGCAGCTCTGTTATTGATTTATCAGTAAAACTTTGCAAACGGCTCTTAGACACTTATCTCCCTCTACTATTATTATCAGTTATAATTTCCATATTCTGTATTGGAATGTGAGTTGCTTAAAGGGAAAAACTGCATCTGATTCAACTTGCATCCTTGATCCCATGTGTAATGTCTGGCACACAGTGAGAGCTCTATGTTCACTGAAGGAGTGGGTGAGTCATATATAAATGGTCTATAAATGCTTGCTCACTGACTGTAGAAGTTCAGAATTTTCTGTCCTTTCATTGACATTTGATATACATTGTTTTAAAATATGTTAGTACTTGAGGGAGTCAGCAGCTAAAACTATTCACTTTCATCTGCCTATTTAGTACCTGTTGATTCCATGGTAGTTTATACAGTTTTATAATAAATCAATATAACATTTATTCTAAAAGAATAAATCATAGGAAAGCAAGAATAAAATAATAATTCTTATGTTGAATTATTCTTTTAATGAAAACACAAAAAGGAATGCAATCAACTTTGAGAATTATTGAGAATAAAATAATCATAGGTATCATCTCATCATTCCTTCTTTTATGAGGTTTCTTGTTCCATATTCCATCTTCTGACTGTCTGCCTCCCCAGAGTGCCAGATGGAGTTATCTATTCATGTTAACTGTGAGAATGAACAATTCAGTCAATCATTTGGACTCTTTATCTAACCAACACAAAGCATCTGGATATTTAGAAACATCTAGATGATCGACTGCATTTTTCACTTTGCATCCAGATGTTTTGGTTGTCATATAGACACAGTCTATTGCTCACAAAAATGGAGTCTTGGTATAAATATTAACACAAGATCTTTTCTTAAAGAGTTATGAATTGCATTACACTCATTTTCTTATGATTAAATTTCAATTTATGTG